ATTTGTCCTCTAAATGAAACAAGGTAGATTATACAATTGATAATTTATAGAACCTATGGGAAGTGTCGCACCTAAAGTTGATACCCGTGATGAATTTACTTTTAGTCGTACACGTTTGCATTTGAGCAAAGCGTTGATATGTCCTGCACAATCCTATCCTGAGCCTACGTTTAGGTAAAATAAAAAGTTTATTAAATAAATTATTTATAGAAGACTATAATGTATAGTAATCTTAACTCTTTTTTATAAATATCGGTGATATAAGAATTTTCCATGAAATGATTTAGTTATCTTATACCAACATGATGGCAAAGCATTATTGTTTAGACTGATAAATATCACTTTTGTTTTTTTTCGGTTATAGAACCCGTGGGTAGTGTTGCACCAAAGGTTGACATTAAGGATGAAATAAACTATGCTCGCACACGAGTTACCCAAAGTTTTGCACTAATTTGTCCAGCACAATCATATCCAGTGCCTTTATTTCGGTAACATATTATATTATCTTAGGTTTTTGTATCGAGGTATTGCAAGACATTCAGGCAGAAATTGATATCACGTTTTTAAATAATCCGTATTCTATCGTAATCATTAATATAATTCACAGAACCTGTAGGTAGTGTTGCTCCAAAGGTTGATTTTAAGGATCGTATAACATGGCTTGATAAAGCTAATAGTAGTTCATTAAGCTTATTATGTCCTGCTCAATCATATCCTATGCCACTTTACAGGTTAGTTGTTTTTTTTAAGTAAATTTCTTTAATAAATTGTTTATTAAATAACATATAAGAGTACAATATGTGCAAACATTTCCAATAACCCACATTCAGGTCCTGTTTTTAAGGTAGTTATTTTAATATAAGTTTTTAAAACCCATTATGCAAAAATTTCAGAACCCGTTGGTAGTGTCGCACCAAAAGTAGATGTTAAGGATCGTATAAATTGGTTAGATAAACCAATTAGTCTTGCTTTTAGTTTATTATGTCCTGCACAAGGGTATCCTATGCCAGTGTTTCGGTATGTATTATTATTTTTTCTTTGAACTACAAATGAATAATTTTCATATAAATTATAAGTTGGTCTAATGGGTTAGAAGTTTTGAAGGGTTACTATTCAATATTTGTATACTATTTATGTTTTCAGAACCGGTTGGCTCCGTGGCTCCTAAAGTAGATATGCATGATAAAATGGACTTTTCAATAAGAAAGTTAAACGCTTCTTTGAGTTTATTATGTCCAGCACAAGGTTATCCTATGCCTGTGTTTAGGTAATCTAAAAGTGATTGCATTTACATGACTTATATAAAAGTTATAGAAATACATATAGAAGTTTAATGTTATTATTGTATGAAGACTAAATTATGTATATTTTCTATACTTATCCCAACAACTTAAAGCAGTTCAATGACAAATTTTTACTGTTATAGTTTGTTGTTTTAGAACCTGTAGGTTCGGTTGCACCAAAGGTCGATATGGACGACAAACTTGGATTTTCAATAAGAAAATCTAATACTTCTTTAAGTTTAATGTGTCCGGCACAAGGATATCCAATGCCTGTCTTTAGGTAAAACGTTAAAATTTATTTTAAATACATACATAAATGTACAAGTTTTATCAACCTTTAATGTTTTATTCTATAATACAGTCTTTTTTAAGACTCCAGTAACTATAATTCATTAAAATAAACAATAATATTGAACTAGTAAATGCATGAAAACTTTTAAGTCAAGCTGTTTACTTCCAAAATCTTAATACCAATCCCAACTTCAAATGTTTAGTTGAATTTTTTTCTGTAAAATATGTTAAGTATATTATATGGTATATTGTCTTGTCTATTCTAGAACCCGTAGGATCAGTTGCGCCTAAGGTTGATATAAATGATAAAGTTAAAATTTCAATAACAATATCAAGTTTTTCTTTGAGCCTGGTTTGTCCAGCGCAGGCGTATCCAATGCCCGTTTTTAGGTAAATAAAGTTTAGAAAAAATTTTTAATTTTTAGCTTCTAAAGTAATAGTCTCTTATACCTTACTTTGCCAAATAGTTTCTCTAATAATGATTACATTCCCATATTAATTTTAATATATATTAAAACTATACAGTTAATTAATTCATATGCATACCCATATAGTATTCTCCTATACTATCTTTCCAAATAGAGTATATCAGAACTGCATCCATCTTCAAATTTTTCAAATCTTTTGATAAAATATTAAATATTATTTTTTAAGTTTTTAAGAAAAACAATCCTCTCCAATATTCAGGCAAAAAAAATTATCTTATCATGCTTATTTATATTAAGAAATTTTCAGAACCCGTAGGCTCAGTAGCGCCTAAAGTAGAAATAAAAGATAAAGTCGGAATTTTTTTGGGAAAACAAAATAGATCTTTAGCTTTATTGTGTCCAGCGCAATCATATCCTGTGCCAGTTTATAGGTAATGCAGATATAAAACAAAAAATGTATAAACCATTTATATACTCGTATGTTATATTTAGCAATTTATAGGATACAGTTTTATTCCAACATTCGTTATAATTTGTCATAAAATATTATTTGATCTAAAATTTAACCATTCGTTCCTAGAACCTGTTGGAAGTGTTGCTCCAAAAGTTAATAAAAATGATGAATTTAGTCATGATCGTGGACGTCATGGTCTTACGATTGCATTAAAATGTCCAGCTCAATCATTTCCAATGCCTTATTACAGGTTAGTAATCTTCTTTAAATTGATAGAGAAGTTTGTATAATCCATAAGTACAAAACACTTACCATGATCGCAGAGCTCTACTGAACCAATACTCGTGTTTTTATTCTATGTTAGCATCCACATTCAAGCAGCTTACAAAATTTTGAATAAATTGTTTATTAGGCTATAATTAGTAATATTCAGCAATTAAGTTCTTAAGGGCTAGTTTTGCAATGCACACTTAAGAAGCCTTAAATTATCTGTAATATGAGTGTTTTTCTGTCCTTAACTGTTACTGGTGTTTGCAATGTAAATATTTAAAGATATTTTTGATAAACTTTTAAATATAAAATTTGTAATAATTTTTAATCGATTTCGCACACAATTATTCTTTAATTTTTTCACTTCAGCTTACTTATTTAATAAGTAACCCATAAGTCCTTGTCATTGGGTACTTAAGTTTCACTCACAATTCACTGCAAATTACGATTTTATTCCAAATGGGACCTCAAGCGTGCATTGTAAAATTAACCCCAAACGTCTTAATATAAATATTCATAGATATTGTACATAATATATAATATTATGCATAAACTTGAATATATATGACAATTTTCATGTATTATAAATATGTGAAGGAGTTTAACTTGTAAGTTTTTAAATTTCAGAACCTATTGGTAGTGTAGCGCCTCGAGTAAATCGTAAGGATGAGTTCAATCATGATCGTGTTTTTACGCATAAAGCTATAGCTATACAATGCCCAGCACAATCATATCCGGTACCTGCTTATAGGTAAATTATTGCTTTCAATAAGTACAACTATTTTCCAACATTCAGCAGTTTGCGAGACTTAGAAACAATTTTGAATCTTACATCTAAACATTATTTTCCAAACGTATTTTAGAGCCAGTTGGCAGTGTAGCTCCACGTGTTAATAAGAAAGATGGCTTCAGTCATGATAGTATACTCCAAGCCAAGCATATTGCACTGATGTGTCCAGCTCAAGCATTTCCTGTACCTTTCTACAGGTAAATAAATGAGTGCTTGCATTACGAGAGCTTATATTTTTTACATGAGTTTATTTTAATTATGTATATAATTAAATATATATACTCTGAAATATTCAAACATTCAGGCAAGCTTATAAGGCAACTATATAAAAAATGTATGCTTAAATAAATAAAATTGTATTTTTTATAAGAACCCTTGGGGAGTGTAGCACCTAAAGTAAGCATAGCCAATCAATTGCAAAATGCTGGAGTTAAGCGAAAGTCAAGTGTGGCCCTCTTTTGTCCAGCCCAATCGTATCCTGTGCCATTGTTCAGGTATTAAACTATTGTGTGGTCTAAAAGTTCAGTTGGCTTTTGTTATGTAGTTAAGTTGTTATTTTTATGATGTCTAATTTTGTGCGTATTGTATCCCAACATAATATAGGTAATTTTCAAACACTCTAAGCCAAAGTTCTGATGCAGAAAAAGTACATCACTTTAATTGTTAATTTAATCCTTTGTTGTGGGCTTTGTTTTATTGTAGAGCCTGTGGGCAGTGTTGGGCCAAAAATAAGTGTTGGAGAGCGACGTAAAGATGCTGAGGCACGTGTCAACACTTCATTGTGCATTTTTTGTCCCGCACAGTCATATCCTGTACCGGCGTATAGGTAATTTTCAAACAATTAATCCAACAATAATAATGGATTTTATTGTTTCTACCTCATTCCTTTGTTAGACATAAAATACTCTTTTATTCCGGATGTCAAAATTTAAATACTACAAAAGCGCTTCAAATATTTGAGTAAATTATTTAAAGAATTATTAGTTTATCGCACATTTTTATTCTTAACAATTATTGCAATCTACTTATTTGAAGTTGAGGAAACGTTAAATTTAAAACATTATGATATTAAGTAATAATACTATTAGAATATAAAAATAATACATTGCTTGATTTTTGTTAGAGAGATCAATTTTTTTTATTGCTGAAAACTTCTATTGCAATCTTCCGGCAGTTTTCGAACTTATATATACTTTTCTTTGCCAAACCTATCACCATAATTTTCAGAACCAGTTGGTAGTGTTGCTCCTAAAATAAATCTTATGAATCGACGTAATGATGCTGAAGCAGCTATTGGTAATACTTTAAGCATATTTTGTCCAGCGCAATCGTATCCGGTTCCTCTATTTCGGTAATTATTCCGTTGAAACCTAATAATAATAATTAAATGCTATCGTCATCGCTACTCATTAACATTCAGGCTAGTTTTATACCAACAATTTTGTAGGTGAAATCAATATATAGTGTACGTATTAATTTGATAGAACCTGTTGGTAGTGTGGGTCCAAAAATAAGTGTGGGAGAACGTTTACGAGATGCAGGTGCAAGACTAGGCGCTACATTTACACTATTTTGTCCAGCACAGTCATTTCCGGTGCCCAGTTTCAGGTACATACCTTGTTAATTTATTCTAAAAATTAAACAGATTAGATATTTCTTAAGGCACATATTTAATATATGTTATTAATATTCAGGCAGTTTGATTATTTCTAATGAATATATTACAAAGTACATAATATAAACCTTTTTCATATAGAACCAGTAGCTACAGTAGCGCCAAAAATCAGTGTTGAAAATCGTTTGAAAAATGCTGAAGCAAGTTTGGGAGAAAGTTTTACATTATTTTGTCCTGGACAAGCTTATCCAGTGCCATTTTTCAGGTAACGATGAAAATAGAACATTTTTAATGCAAACACTAATTCTAATTTATATTAAAATAAAAATTATATTCTAATTTTTATATTAAAAGCCAAAAATTTTCGAAGAGTTTTGTAAATATAAGAATATGTTTTAATATACGTTTATGTACAAGTATCTACTAGTACATATTGCATATTATACATTTATATATATACGGCAAAGATCAAAAAGCAAAAAAAAAACAAATTACAAGAATTTTATCTCACCTAGAATTGGATCTTTTAAATGTGAGGATAATACGAGTATGTGGGTTCTTCACGTTTAACGATATTAATTTCCAGAGATCATTGAAAATAAACTATTTAAAGACGATGGTACTCTAAATTTTTATTTTTGAAATACATAGAAATCTCAATTTCATCTTTTAAAATCAATTCTGAATATGAAATACTTAATACAAAAACTAAAAAGGCAGATTTCAATTTTGTGTCTTGACATATTAATCATTAAATTGTCAATTTTAGAGCACGATTATTGCAATAAAATTACTCTAAATTTTCTTAGAACCTGTTGGCAGTGTGAGCCCAAAATTTAACGCGCACGATGAATTGAACATTGTTCGTTCACGTAAAGAGTATGCAGTGACTTTATTGTGTCCAGCGCAGTCATATCCGGTACCAATATTTAGGTAAAAATTTATTGTAATTGTTGATTAATTGCTCTACAAGATTTATATGTTCAAATTGGTATTGTCGTTTCTGTGTAGAAGTAGATCAGATTTCTAGTCATGTTCTTTGGTACTTAACGGCTTGGATGTGGAACAGAAAGAGAATTCTGGACGGGGATCACTATCTCTTGCTATCTCTACCTACCATAAAATTTAAAACTCATTAAGAGACACTATGATCTCAGTGTTTCCCTCCAGTAAGAACCTAGTATTATGTTTTTTTCTATTCTATTCTATATGTACTTAATCCAATCTTTGTGTGAGTATTAAAAATTATTCGGAAATTCTTCTTTCAAAAATTAAAAATCAATAAAAAAACTTATCACATTAAAGATAATATTTTTTACAAGTTTTTTTTTAATAATATTTACTTTCTTTTGAAAAGGGAATTACAACATAAGGGCAGATTTTTAAAGTTAAATTTTTTCATACAATTTAATATACAATATATTATATAAAGTAACATAATAACGATTTTTTAAGAACCTGTTGGCACTGTAAGTCCACGTCTTACTTCAGGAGATAAGACACGAAACATTGACATAGCATTAGAATTAAGTGTTACGCTTCTTTGCCCAGCTCAAGCATTTCCAGTACCATTTTTTAGGTAAATATTATTTTAAATACTGCAAATTTCATAAAATTTAAGATTATATCAGGCAGATTTCATTTACTTTTACTTTTATTGACTTTTTTAAAATGTAGTACAGAATCATTGAATATATTTCTCCTAATTAGAGCCCATCAGTGGGGCTGCTCCTCGTGTAGCGCTTATACAGAAGACAAGCATAGAATTTGTGTCACATCAAGGCACAGTTTCACTTATGTGCCCTGCGCAAGGTTATCCAGTTCCAAATTTTAGATAAATTCTTTTCCTAGGTTTTGAAGTTATTTTCTTAAAATTTATTATTATTTGTCAATAGAGTTTTATTTGAAATGTGTAATGACTATAATGATTTTCAACTTATTAGCCTTTAAAAATGAATAATTTTGAGAATTTACAATAAAAATATCTTAAAATATATCCGTCCTTATCAGGCAGTTTATAGGCATATATTTTAAATATTTTTTATTACTAAGAATGAAGTTGTAGCCTTTATAAGAGAAATTAAAAAGTACTGCACTATATAAATACTAAAAACTAATTATTTTTTAGAACCAGTAAGCAGTGCTATGCCGAAAGTTGCTTCACTGTCAAAATTCGATATGAAAACATATGCCGGTTCCAGTAACTTGGCGTTGTTGTGTCCAGCACAAGGTTTTCCAGTGCCATTTTATAGGTAAACTTGAAGTAAACTTCAATAGATTATATGGTATAGATTTCAAGATATAGGCCAAACAAAACCAGAAATCTATTTTTAGTAATCTGGGAGTATTTATATAAAATAATTTTTTATGGAACATAATGAATTATATTTTTTCTAAATATAATTTAACAATATAATCTTTTAGACATCATTTATGTAGATACGTACTTTTATCTATATTGTCCAGATATAAAGCCGTTGTTATTAGTGTACATAACTCACAATATAACGATTAGACTGTGTATTTATTGAAAACATTACATAGGATATTTATGAAAAAAATAATTATTATATTCTTCAATCTAAAGTAATGCTAAAATTTTTATGTTGTAAGGGTTCAACATAGTGATCCTTCTAGATACGCGATATAAGTTAATTTAAATACGATTTTAGTTCATTAAAAATTATGTTGTTTAAATTAATAACTGATCTCACATTTTGGCAGTTTTTAACAGAGTTCGGAATGTGGTGCACAAAATCGCACACTGCACTGTGCGAGTGGAAATTATTTTTAAAATATGCACACGCACATTTGTGGTATTAAGAAAAAAAATGCACGCACTCAAATTTGTTGTGCGATTTTAAATTTCACATCGCACAAAGCGATGATTGTGCACACAGATTCGTGCACACACATTTGTGCTGTGTGACTGATTTTTAAAAATGTGCACAATCAGATGTGCGAGAAAATTTTATGCTCGCACCGCACTGTGCGACAAAAAATTCTCTTTGCACACGAGTGTGCTGCTCATATTACGTTTGCACAAATGTGCACAAATGTGCGACTGCACAAACGTGCACAAATGTGCACAAATGTGCGATGCACAAACGTGCACAAATGTGCGATTTTGCGCTTGCACCCAAGGGTGGAAAAATTACAGGAACTTCACAATTTTGTTTGAAATAGAAAATATTATTTTGTTGCAAATTTTGAAAAAATTGATATTTGCGTTCGTTGGGATCGTAATTTATGTTAAAAATTGCATAAATTAACAAATATTTAAAATAATTATTTTTGTTAATTAATGTAAACTAAAAATTATAACTGTCTTAACCTTATTTGTATTTTAACTTAAAATATTAGTTTTTTGTATATTACTTTGTACATTTTTAAATGCAAATATAGTAAGTGAACTTAAAGTATTTGTTTGGAAAGTTTTGCACCAGTTTAAAAAAAATAAAAACATATTTTAGGAAGATTTTTTTATGCCCAAAAAATATGAAAGATTAGGAAAATATTTTTTTTGAACAGGTAGCAGGTATTGGTATTGGTGTATTTGTTTAATAAATTTTGCAACAGTTTAAAAAAGATAATACGGGAGGGCCACAAATAGGTATTTTTCTTCTACAGAAATATGTATTCACTTAGGTAGAGTATCTAACATTCATTAAAAAACGCGAAAGATTAAGAAAATATTTTCTTGAACAGGTAGCAGGATTTTAGCGCCCTTTCTACTGTGCTAAGTAAGCAGAGATATAATTTAAGTGAAAAAAATATTTCAGCAATGTTATTAATAAGATTAAATGAAAATTTATTTCAAAAAATATGTAATAAAAATTATATATTTTTTAATAAGAAATTAAAATATTAAATTATTAAATTATTTCAATAACTTTGTAAAATTTAAACTGTAATTAAAGATAAAAAATTAAGTGAAATCTAATAACAAAATTAATTTATGTTGTTGTAAAAAATATTTAATTTGCTTTTTATAACCTTACTAACGAATCTTAGTGTACAACTTACTATTAAATAAAATTTTATGAAGTAGTCCAAAATTGATATATTTAATTTTTTCAAAGTACGATCCGTAGAACCGATCCTCTTTACTTATAACATTTCGAAACAAATACTCTTTCTCTATTAAATTCATGTACCTATTTAATATAACAAAGTTTTCAAGTACATTGTGAAATTAACTTTATTCCCATATTTTAAATTAATAAACCTTAAAAAAATAAGTAATATAAGCAATAAATGTAAATCTAATAATAAATTCAAAATTAAAATATAAATACAAAATTATTTCTTCAATAAAATATTTCGCATTAAGACCAAAATTAATACAAATCAGTTTTCCGTACTATTTTGCTGCGATATTTGTCATAATATTGTGCGCTTTTAAATCATCATTTCACACAAACGTGCAGTAGACATTTCGTCTCCGCACATTTGGGTGCATTTTTATTTTCGAGCCTGCACACAAAATGTGCTTCTCGTATTCTTTTCTGCACACGTTGTGTGCGAGGGCATGTTGGCTGCCGCACACACAATGTGCTGTGCGAAATAACTTCGGCACAAACACCGAATGCGTGTGCGAGTTTTATTTCACTCCACCACACTCGTGTGAAATGTGCGTTTCGTTTGTGCACACAAGATGTGCACTTAAGATGTGCACAAAAATTTTCGCACACCACATTTGTGGTGTGAAATTTTAGAATCGCACAACATTTGTGCGTGGTGTTTTGCATTTTTGTGCACAGCACAGTGTTTTTCTGAACCCTGGTTTTTAATGAAAAAATTTGTGAAAGCGGTATTCAGAGTTTTGTCGTTATATCCTAAATATCCTGAAGGATATTGCAATTAAATAAATTCTTATTTAATAATTTTTCCCAGAACCTGTTTCGAGTACTGCACCAAAAGTTCCTCCAGTAAGTGCACGGCCACTAAGTGTTATTCAGTTTTCCAGTATTTCCATACTTTGTCCAGCTCA